ACAGAGCCTCAAGCTATCACCCTGGGTAGAATGCCATGGCATCACAGCTCACACCAACCTCCAACTCCTGGACTCAAGCAATTCTCCTGCCTCAGCCTCCCTAGTAGCTGGGACCCACAGGTGCCTGCCACATGCCAGCTATTTTTTGGTTATAGTCGTCATGGTTGTTTGGCGGGCCCGGGCTGGATTCAAACCCACTAGCTCAGGGTGTATGTGGCTGGCGCCTTAGCCGCTTGAGCCACAGGCCCCAAGCTGATCACAGCATCCTTTAAGTGGAGGAGGGAGGCAGGAGAGGAAGGGTCAGAGTGATGTGAAGTAGAGCAAAGAAGCCAATTCTCCCCCAGAGCTTCCAGAAGGAAGGCAGCTCTGTTGCCACCTGAATTTTAGCCCATTTGTGACCCATTCTGGACTTTTGATCTCCAGAACAGTAAATAAAACAACAGTAAATAAACAGGTTGTTTTTTGGTAATTTGTTACAGCAGCTGTAGAAAATTAACACATGTATCAAACCCTGCACTTCACAATGAAAACATCCATTGTTTTGCAATTCAAAAGAAGTTGTTTAACATCAGCTAAGTTTCCTTCTATTTTGGGCTTCAGTTTCCTTGTTTATAAAAAGGAGATAATGGGGTGGTGCCTGTGGCTCAATAGGTAGGGTGCTATGCCAGCCCCATACACCGAGGGTGGCAGATTCGAACCCGGCCTGGGCCAGCTAAAACAGTAGTGATAACTGCAACAAAACACCTGGGCGTTGTGGCAGACACCTGTAGTTCCAGCTACTTGGGAAGCTGAGGCAAGAGAATTGCTTAAGCCCAAGAGTTGGAGGTTGCTGTGAGCTGTGACGCAACAGCACTCTACCCAGGGTGACATAGTGAGACTGTCTCAAAAAAAAAGAGATAATATTGTTTATCCATGGAGTTATGATGAATAATAAATGAGGCAATATATGAGGTCTGATAATTAAGTTTGCAACCTCATCCTTTAAAAAGTTCTACATACCTCATTGCTGAATACAGTCTACTCCCCTTGGCTGTCTGCATTTCTCTGATGATTAAGGATGGAGAGCACTTTTTCATATATCTATAGGCCATGTGCCTATCTTCTGTATAGAGAAATTTCTGTTCAAGTCCCTTGCCCACCCTCAGATGGGATCACTTGTTTTTTTCTTGCTAATACGTTTGAGTTCTCTGTGGATTCTGGTTATTAAACCTTTGCCGGAGACATAACCAGCAAATATCTTCTCCCATTCTGAGGGCTGTCTGCCTGCTTTATTTACTGTGTTCTTGGCTGTGCAGAAACTTTTAAGTTTGATCAGGTCCCAAAAGTGTATTTTTGACATTGCT